GTGCCATTCCACTTAGGCACAGCCCCCCCCCCCCCCGGCAGATTAGCTGGAAGTGAATTGATCCTCCTCAAGAGGCATCATTGCCGTCCTGCTCAGGTCACAGACAGAGCTGTACATCCAACAGCAAATGCCATCAGTGGCCACAAATGCCTTAGGAGGTGAGATGGGAGGGAGGAATGGGGGCAAGGGGAGAAAACCCTCATTGGGGCAGCAGCTGTGGGCAGGTTTGGGAGTGCAAATGTCCAGCAAATGCAGGTCGGGATTTGACCCAGGATGCTCTGTCTGACAGGGAACCCAAGGAAGCAGTTCCACCAAAGGGTGCAAGGACTTTGCTCTAGCAGCTTGTGACCTGAAGAATGAACACACAGACCCAGCCTGAGCTGCCCACAAAGGCAACCCTACCCTCTTTTAAAAATGGTCCCTTATTTTGCTCAGTCTGCAGCAAAATAATCCAAATCAGAAGCAAGAGGTAAAAGGCTGTTCCAGCTCCATCAAGTGGAAGAAACTGTAGTTGCCCCCAACATTGCTTGCTTGCAAGGGCAGTGGAAGACAGAAGCGTGGCCACCAAAATCAGCCAGGCTCTGACCACTGTCTTCTGGAATGAGAAGTGATTTCCAACAATAAGAAATTATCTTGTCTACCCATCAGTTTTTAGTTCCCTTCTTATCCTGGATTAGCATAACGGATCTTTTCCCCTTCTTTAAAGCCTCACATCAGAGACCTTTGCATACTGCTCTCACCTCATTTATTTAATAAAGCTTCTTTGCACAGGCAGAGTACACAAAATATGATAGCACAGCACTATAGGAAGGGGTTGGGTTTTTTCCTTCCCTTAAGCAGCTATAGATTTCAAAGCATCCTGAGCAGCTATTAATTGGTGACACTAAAGAAGATGGATGGATTGTGCTTTTTTTGAATGATTCACTTGCTTTTGTAAAGATTGCTGAAACATCTTGATGCTGAAATACTCCGCGAGAGCTATCAAGGATGAAAAAGCACCAGATGAAAAGCACTGAGGGATTTTGCCTGCAAGATGCTGACCACACTCCTAAGGAGCACAAGTGGTAATAGATGAGATGACACACCGGTATTTGATAGTTAACTGTATAACATAATGTATATGCTAGAACAGTTCTATGTACAGGCAGTGTAAATGTACAATATAGCAGTATGAAAGAAGGGAGTGTTAATGGCATTGTAAAAATCCCTGGTAAGGCAATATATAGGTGCTGTTGCCAGTTCTGGTCCCCCTGCTCAGATTGGAGCAGGGGAAGGGGTGCACTGCAAGGGTGATCCAGATCGTGGAAAGTCTGTTATATGAAAGGAGACTAAAAAAGGATGGCTTGTTTTATCTCCTGCAATGAATGCTGAGAGAGGACACCCTATAAATACATCATGGATAAGCACACAGAAGGGAGAAGCACTATTTAAGCAGAAGCACAGTCTTGGCAGAAAAAATTATGTGAATAAACTGGATAAGAGTATATTAAGGCTGGGAATAGGAAGATTTCTGCATTTCCAAGGAGATGCAGTAGGATTTCTCCTCCTGCACCATTACAGTAGGAGAAATGGTGGCAAAAATTACTTTTGTGGTGGACCAGGATCACTTTATCATGCAGTTTCTTTCAGAAAGCTGCCTACATCAGACGGGAAATGAATTGACCTCAAAGGTCCTTTCTGGTACTAGACTGCTTGCAGGACTGTAAGGTTGGTATTCACCAGCTTTAAATCATCATCTGGAATTTATCTACTTGCTGCTCAGCTTACACGCTCACACATCTTATTCCTGCAGTTACAGCCCACATGAAGGGAAGAAAGGATTCACTTATGGTTAGCATTTAGGGCCCTAAAGCAGACAGGATGTTACAGTGTCACCTCAGCATACACCATTCACATCCCATGTCATGCAATAGAGAAAAGTAAAAATAAGACTTGCTTTAGCCTCATACAGTGGAGAATACTCTCTCTGACCAGCCGTTTAACAGAATTAAACAGAAATGACTGTATCGTGTGTTTCCCTCAGCAGGAGAATGAAGGAAGTCTTCATCCAGTTCTTCTAGACAGGGAAATGGCTGATACCTTTAGTCTCACCTTTGTAAAGATTTGATTTTTTTATAGACATGAGACAAAGTCTTCTGAGCTGAACTCTGGTCATGGAAACCCCCTTTTCATGCTACATTTGTTTCAGATTTAATTAACACTGCT